CAGGACGGCTAGCACGAACCATCCCATCAAAACAGTCCTGACAGAGGACATGTTGTCCACATGTCAAAAAAACAGCAGGACGTTCATCACAGTGCGGCATCATGCAGTTCTGATAGCGTCCTTGGGCACAAAAGGGACAACGTATATCTGGGTGACAGGGATGTGTACAATGAGGAAATGTTGGACACCCCTCAGTACAGACGGCGGCAGTCGCAATAGATTGGTAATGGCTATGGCATAGTTGATGCATTCCACACAGACACGGCGCACCGCGTCTCTGTCCCGACAGGTGTCACACAAGAGTCGGTCAATAATCCAGAATAAAGTATGATTCGACACCCCAAAATTCATTCACGTCAAAAATAGCTTGACTCATCGTCCCACCATCCCACAGTTCCCACTGGGCAGCTGCACGAACGAGTGCCATATAATGCCCGGGCCTGTGTAAGATGCACGCAGAAATATGAGGAGGATGGTTAACGAGGTCATCGCCTGGCGTCGCATGATGCATAAGAAGGTGGCGGCCGTGAAACGCCCCATGTCCTGTGCTGTCCTGCCTGTAGTGGTTCCCATACTTGGCTCTTCTTGAGGCCGAGGTCGTCAGTTCGGATCCGTGCTTGCACGGAGGAGGAGGGGGCCTTGGGCCCAGATTAGATCTACGGACCTATAAACACTACCAGTAGTACTTACCGGGGGTTCCCGCCCGTTGGACGGAGCGATTTCGGTTCAAGAATCGCCGAAATTGCGACCAGGAACATCGAAATTTCGGTTCAATAATCGCCGAAATTGCGGATAGGAACATCCAAGTTGGGCAAACGACCAAAGAGGTACATCTTTTCCCTGGGGTACATCTTTCTTTCATTCTCTCACAGGGAGGAAGAGAAAGGAGATGCTCTCCTCACGCGTCGTAAGATATTACTTAGCTAGCTATCCATCAATCCACCACGATCGGGAGGGATCCCGACCGGCCGGCATTCCTCTTATGCGGTAATTGACACCTCCGATGAACAGAATTGAAGTAATTGGTTGACGTCGATGGATGGATGGATGAGACCCCCGTTTCATTGAGACATTATTTTCCACTATTGTTTTTTACGGTATTACTACTATCCTGTGGTATTCTTCCCCCTCCCCC